GTGTTGACCAGAAGTCGTGACATCCAGTTACTTCCAATTCATAACACGTGGTAAACTTGGTTAACCCAGCACTAGCCGACATTAGGAGAAGTTGGGGAAAACTCCAGAGTTTCAGCCAAAATGCAGAGTCGCCACAAACTCTGAGTTAGTGGGAGAGCTAAAACTCTGGAGCATTCCTCAAATCAAATTGGTCCACTGCCCATATGACCTGGAAACACAAGTCCCTTTTCCCTCAACATAATTCTCTCTCCTTCTCCCTGGACACCTTTGCTGATGTTTCTGCTAGCAATTGACTGGGATGATAGGCCAGGTAAGATTGACCCTCCAGCAGGTCCAACCCGGTTTGACCCAACTGGGCAGTCAGGACTTCCGCCAATCCCACAGGCCCAGTAGCAGAGCATCTGAATAGCTCAACAGAAACCCAGGTCAATCTAGAGCAGAAATGCTCTGACTCGTTCCCTGATTTCGCTGTACATATGTGCAGATCTGCTCATTGATTTTAACAGATAGCTGAGACTTTTGTAGAAATTACTGAGACAAGGTATGCAAAACCTCTGAAAACATGAAATATGTTCTATAAATATCATGTGATATTATTATTAGTGGCATATTAACTTCTATTGATAAAACTAAAGAAAAGTTTTGAGTGGCCTGAGAGGCCATTCTTGGAATTTAGCTGGGAAAAATGTTTCAAATGAAATTTGTCCAGTGATTAACAGCCTAGGCGCTGTTTATTTGGAAGTGAGGCCCACTGGGTTCAGATGGTGCCTAATAAATGTTTGACTTAGTTGTTCAAATTATAATTTAAGAATCAAGTCTTAAACACACCAAAGACCAGTCATTGTGGCTTACCAAGCAGGAGATGTTTCATAAAATGACAGCGGCTCAAGAAAATTATGGTTCAGCCATCCTTTTAAAAAATAATCCAGTATGACTGCATATTTTAGACAGCAAACGTGTATTTCAAACAGGTTCATCTACTGATGATGGATTAAACGAGACTACGGGCAAATTGACTTCCTGCTGCTTAAAAATATATATCTCTATGATCTGGAATATTTTAGAAAGCAAAAGAATTCCTGAAGTTTAAGGCATAACTGATCCATGTTACATTACTGTTCTTTTCCAAATATATATTTAAAGTATACAAAATGGCCAGACCTAGGGACCATCTACACCAGTGGTTCTCAATCTGGGATCTCCAGATGTTTTTGGCCTACAACTCCCAGAAATCCCAGACAGTTTACCAGCTATAAGGATTTCTGGGAGTTGAAGGCCAAAAACATCTGGGGACTCCAGGTTGAGAACCACTGATCTACACTGTAGAATTAATGCAGTTTGACATCACTTTAACTGCCATCACTTAATACTATGGCATTGTAGAAGTTGAAGATTTACCAGGTCTTTAGCCTTGTCTGCCAATGAGAGATTGTGTTTTACCAAACTACAAATCCCAGGACCACATAATATTGACCCATGGCAGTTCAGGTGCTGTCAAACTGCATTAATTCTACAGTGTAGATATATCCTTAGTTTCATCTAGTCTAGTGGTTCCCAACCTATGGTCCATGGACCACAAGAGGTCCGCAAGAACTCAAATATGGTCCGCAGCCTTTCTGTTACTACACAATTACAACGAGAGTGACTGGTCTCATGAAACCCTCTTATAATGCCAAGGCTTATTAAATATGGTTTTATGTGGGTGAGCAGATGGAGACTACTGGGTGGTATATGTTCTGTATCAGAAACTAGAGCTGATGTGGTCTATATAATGCGATTTTCTGAATCAGCACTGTAAATAACCTAACCAAATCTAAAGTTGACCAAAACCTGATTCATAACCCTTTTGGTACTAATGTTGGAGAGTGGTACCTGGTCAAAAAAGGTTGGGAACCACTGATCTAGTCCAATATTCTCTTCATACTCCCAAATCCCAGCAAGCAGCACATATTGTGTAGATAGCTAGAAATGGAAAATCAATCTGTCATTGTTCTATCACGTACTTTCTATCTAATTCTTATCTGGAATGCTTGAGACCAGAAACGTTTTAGATTTCAGATTTTTTCAGATTTTGGAACATTTGTATTTTTCCATGTGTACATAATGAAATATTCTGAAGATGTGACCCAAGTCGGAACACAAAATTAATTTGTTTTTCATATATACCATGTACATATAGCCTGAAGGTAATTTTATAGAATACTTTAATATTTTATGCATAAAACAAAGTTTGCACATATTTTCTATCACTATCTTAACCATTTCAGATTTTGAATTTCTGGATAAGGGAAGCTAAACCTTTAATGTTGGGTTTCAGGGAGGAATAATTATTTCAAAGTAAAAACTAACTCTTTTCCATCATTTTTCCTACATATATTATTTGATGAACTGAAGAGATAATTGGCTTCTTCAAATAGCTATCAGTTTTAAAATAATGAAGAAAAATGCAATTTCCCCTCCTTATTGAAATGTGAAAATATGCACACATTGGTGATATTTATCCCACCTATTTTTAAAAAATCACATCCAACACATTTAAGCAACTATGTGCTGCAGCTAGATTGTGTAACTATCAACCTCATCACATGCAGTCTGGGCTCCGGTTCCATGCTATTTGGAAACTGAGTCCCGCAGAGGCCATCATATGACACAAAGGGACTCTGTGGGACTCTGTTTCTGCAAGGCATGGAAAAACTGGGGGGGGGGGGGGGGGCTGGGGAAAAAAGTGAAAATACGAGGAAATAACTGGGATTGCTGGCCATCCCAGAAGACGCCTCAGCAGTAGGGAATGAAGTAAGACAGTTCCCTCTGCTTTTTGCCATTTTCTCCTGCTCATGGAATGGGTTCCTAAAAGGAAGTTGTTACATATGCACTAAATTTGATGAGAATTTTCTATAGTAAAAGAGATTTTGCAAACAACCTCCCCCCCCCCCCAAACCTCTTTTCTGATGATAGAAACAAAATTCTAATGTTTGAGTTAGTTGATCAAATTATGAGAATTCCAAATGCCCCTTCTCTAACAGCATAAAGGATTGCATAAGGGAACATGACCATTAAAGTGGAAAATAGCCATGTAATATATTCTGCATTCTGAAACTGGATTATCTGGCAGTGTAGATCCAGCCATACAACCTTATCAGATGGGCAGGGGAAAAGCGGGGGACAACGGGGGAAATCGTGGGGCAGCTGAGGTAACCATCAGGCTCTGTTCCCTCCCATTGGGGTCTGTGGCCTTTCTTTCCACATCGTTTCCCCATTTGTCCCCACTTCCTCTTCAGCTCTTCTTCATCATCATAATCATCATCATTCTTTCCCCCTCTTTTTTTTCTCTTTTCCTCTTTTTTCTCTCTCCCCTTCTTCAATGAGGAGTCAGGTGTACACCTAACTCCTCTGGGCTCCTCTGTGACAAAGCTGCCACCACAGAGTCCTGCCAAAGTAGCCCTGCATCAAGTGATGGATTCCATAGGACTCTGTTTCATCAGCAAAAAGAAGTGAGGAGAAAACACTCCTCTCCTTGTGCCTGATAAGTTCCTTAATTTCTCCAAATAAAACCAGGACAATCTCAAGGCAAAGTGACTTGTTTTCTGAGTCAGTATAGGTGCCCCGTCTTGCTATTTTGGGATTAGGTACATTTCTCCATTCAGTCATGGTCTTCAGTCACTTGTAGGGAATATTTCAGACAATGAACATTTCAGAAGCTATAATATATTATATCAAATTGCTCACAGATGAGATCCAAAATAGACATTCCCAAATTATGGTTTCCTATTGTACTATCTCTGAATATCTCATGTGCTTACTCGTCTCTGATGTCACCTCAGTTGTGTAGAATCAGTACATATTTCTTTCTGGTGAAGTCTAGTTTTGAGAGAGTCATGGTCATGTGAGGAGGAAATAGGAAATATTTTCTTCTATTAAATATTAGTATAGCAATGAGAACAAGTTATGGAGTTCTTCCAAATGAGTTTTTATTATGTGATTTGCCCGGTCTTGGTTACATAATTTTACAGGTGATGGGGAAACACAATAATGTCTTCCATTCGTAACTGTGTTTCTTATTACACGATAAAGAAGAATTAGCTACCTGTTGACCTTTAATTGCTAGGAACTATCCACTTAGATTAGGCAAGGGCAAACTTCGACCCTCCAGATGTTTTGGACTTCAACTCCCAGAAATACCAGGTAGGAATTGTGAGAGCTGAAGTCCAAAACACCTGGAGAACCAAAGTTTGCCTGATTTAGATGCATTTAAATTGGAATCTCGCCAAACTGGCAGTTAAAGTAGTATCAAACAGCATTAATCCTACAGTATAGATACACCTCTGGAAATATCCATCATGAGAAGATCCTTGTTCTCCTCCATTGTGAACACTATTCTAGTTTGAAACTAGCCTGTTATTGTTCCTTCTGGCACTAAAGTGTAAATGGCAAGGATGAATAGCAAGAGAATCTCTCAGTGGCTGTTTCTCATCTGTGGAAATATCCACCAAAAACTTTATTTGAACTTATATGGGGTTTTAAGGGCAAAAACAAACAAACAAACAAACCCAAGTGGATTTCAGTAAATATGATTTTTTTTTCTATTTTATAAACTTGAAAAAGCTACTTCAAATAAAACATACATTTACAAATATTATTTTGACTACACTTAAACAAATAAGAAAGGTTATAAATCTAAGTCAATATTAACTTGGTGTATTTGGGAATTCATGCTTCTCCAACAAATGCATTTTTATTTGCACAGCTTTGGAAAGAATGTTTGATTTTTTTCCTCCTGGGAATCACTGTAAGTTTTATACGATCACACTTTACAGTCTCCCTTGAACGTGGCAGTGCCCCAGGGAGGACCTTCATAAGATCTAGGGCTAAAGAACTGCCTGGGGTTTGACAATGGCTTATTGTAGCAGAAAGAATGTGACTGAAGGAGCTGCTATGGGGTGTGGCCAGGTAACAGCAGTCAGCCTCCCTCCCCTCTTTCTCTCTCCATACCTGCTCTGGTGGTTGAGCTTTAAACTGTCAGAAAAGGTAGCTCAGCAAACTAGCACCTGTTGGAGCTCTGTATGCTGGGTGGTAACTGAGCAAACTGGAAATATGTCTTGCTAGAGAGAGTATTTGGAGACACACTGGAGAAGGGAGAACTCGGGAAAGATGAAGAAGCATCATTCTGTGCAGGGAACTATTAGCCGAATCTTTGGGAAAAAACATGCCAGCAACAATTCCACCAGCTCACTCTTTGTCACGAACCCACCATGGATCTTCACACAGGAGGTCAAATCTGACACCTTGGCAAGCTCTGGTCAGTATGGCTTCTTTCTTCTTGCCTTGTTTTTGAACTTTCAAGGGAGGAAAAGGTCTCCAGGGAGATCTAACAAACCCTCTTTTCACTGCACAGTCTGACCTATTCTGGCTCCAGATCAGAGAATATATGGTCTAGGAAGGGGGTTGCATCTAGAAAATTCAATTGTAGGGGTGAACAGGTCTGACCTTGGTCTGGGTTCTTTCTTGTGCCAATCGCGAGCGTCTTATGAAACAGCCATGCAGCTGGAAAACCTCAAGAAGCATTTGGTAGAGTTTGGCTGGATTAAAAGAAAACGTGTTGCAACTTGTGGAACTCAACTAGCAGCCTGTGATCAGCTCTTTAAAAAAGCACAACAAGCTGAAAAAAAGAAGTGAATTCCAAGGGGCTCTATTTTAAAACAAAGATACAGAAGTAATAAATTGTAAGATGTGAAGGTGAGCCACAAGAAGAAGTTATGCTTATAGTGATTACTGCCATAAGGAAGCCTTTAAAGAGATATTTTGTCGGTGTCTTTCCAGATGGTTTGTTTATTCTATGGATTTTATGTCTCTCTTGTAGTTTGTAATTGTAGTACAACAACCTGGAGGCACAGGTGGGTGAGTGCCAGTTCTGGATCATTGCTAAGCGTGGGCCAAGAGAATGGCAAATTTCAGGGATGGGATAAAAATTGATAAGCAATTAGAGGTTATTCAGAAAATGTGCCCAAGATAGATGCAATCAGAAATGTAAGTTGCCCAGTCAAGTCACTAGTGACACCTTTGGATTTCACTAGTTATCTGAAGTTATCCCTCCATAGTTATCCCTCCATATCTGCAGTTTTGACTTTTGTGAATATGATTATTCGCAGATTTTATTAAAGAGTTCTCTCTAGAAATTGCTAGATCCTTCAGTGTATGGTCAGCTTTCTTTGGTCATGCTGGAGGGCCTAGAGATTTCTAAAGAGAATCTCCCTTTAGGGCTGGATCTATACTGTCCTTTATCCCAGGATCTGAGGGTCGACTCATATAATCCAGTTCAAAACATATAATCTGGGATCAGATCCTTGGATAAAGGGCAATGTAGATCCAGCCAAGGTCTTCCAATGTGATTCTGTTTTCATCTTCCAGCAGACATTGACAATAGAAACTCCTAGAGAATATCTGTCTCTTGTCTTGCTTTGGATGAAAGGGAAATACAAGATGTAAGGTGGGTTTGAGGGACAATTCTATGAGTTGAAATTAAATGTTAAGTCTTTTGACTTATTCATAGTTCTAAGAATGAGTCACTTCTTTACTATGGCGAAAAAAATTATCCGTGTTTAGTCAGCCAATTATGTTCTAAGTCTGAGACATGATCTGTCAACACTGGAGCCCTTCTAAGTGTTAAAGTTCAGGAGAAGTTTCTTCTGATGTCCAGCTGCACACAGTTGTTTTGCACAATCAGACCTCTACTTGGTGGGCTGTTGGAGAGAAAAGGTGGGATGATGTGGGCAATATTTTGGACCAGGGATTTAAGGCTATCATTTATAATGTGGGTGGCTGTTGCTGCTTTCCTCTAATGTTATTTCCCACATGTGTGTGTGGTACTTTTTCGGAACTATGGATTTTTGTATGTATAAAGTATGTTTCTAAAAATATAACAACAAAAATACTGTTGAATTAAGGGGTGCTTTGGTGTACAGTATGACCAGTATCTGCCATTTCATTTATGCACATCCAACAAAATATGTCCTCTCTAGCCATTTTCTAGATCCTCCAGTGCAGTGGTTCTCAACCTGTGGGGTCCCCAGATGTTTTGGCTTTCAACTCCCAGAAATTCTAACAGCTGGTAAACTGGCTGGGATTTCTGGAAGTTGTAGGCCAAAACACCTGGGGACTCACAGGTTGAGAATCACTGCTCTAGTGTGACACGATAGTATCCTTGGGCTAGACATCCTTAATTTCAATAGGATTTGCCATTATTTATAATTTCACATATCTGTGTGAAGTCCAGCAGTGTATCCCCAGTGGATATGAGGGTCATACTGACTGTATGAAACAATGCAACATTTTGTTTCAGACAGCAAAGCTCGGTGGAGTAGAATGTTTTGTTTGGTTTTGAACTGGACCTTAATTTCCATCTCTGTGTGTCATTGTAAAATAAACTAACAGTGAAAGGTGTTGTTGGATCAATTTACCATTTGGTTTTGTTGCAAAAATATTTCAGGCTGGATTGTGCTGGTTATGTGTACAACCATGCATATTAGGTAAATGCTGTTCTACAAGCACGCACATTGCCTTCGTCTAGATCTAACCAGTGTCAAGGAGAATGTTACCATGGATGGTATATAGGCAGGTACAAGCTCCTTTGGCCTACAATAATTTCTGCAGTTACGGAAAGATTGTACCCTACTGCTCTATGCATAATGTATCAGTGGAGTTGTGAGATTTTATCTGGGAAACAAGCTACAGATATCCCCCAATACAACCAGATTTAAAGGTTAATTGTTGCTTAGTGGCAATTTGTAGTTTTCTTGTGTTCCTTTGCCTGTAGCATCTTTCTGTTGCATCATGCGCTTCATTAAAATAGAGAAACCCGCCTCTTTTAGATCTGTGTTAGATATAACATCACGCCTTATCATATATGACTTTATTTCCAGCTGTGAAAACATGATAAGAGAATTGTCTCATGTCTTTCTGTCTGCTTTGTGAAATTATAAGAATTTTGCCAATCTGAAGGGAACTAAGGGGTAGAGATTTCACTGACATTATACCATAGTTGACTCTTATGCAGACCTACAGAATTGTAGGTCTGCTGCATAAATTGCATGCTATTTGGGCTAAATGAGCTCGGATTTTGAGGTTAATTTCAACCTCAGTCGAATTGCAAGCTAAACATAGGTTACTGAATCTGGGATGGGTGTGGATTTATGGTTGTGACTGACTCAGAGATTCCTGAATCTAGTCCCTGGCCCCTCCCTCATCTCTACACCTCCCTCAAAGCTACAAATGCACTCAGCATAGATGGCTGCACCTATATGTGAACCACTGGGTGGCATGACGTATCAGAAATAGCCTGGACCAAGTCACATTCATTACTTATGCAGTCATTTCGGGAGGTCAAATTCAAGCACAGAACTGTTCCAAGGCATCCCTTGTCTGGATTAAATCAAAATACGGGGCACAATCCATTCTGTAACATTTTTGTTTCCCATCCTTTTTTAGTCATCTTGTCTCTGAGTTTAAATATGATAGACATATTTAAATATGCAAAAGATTCGTGTAGAAGATGGAGCAAGCTTGTTTTCCACTGCTCCAGAGACTGGAACATGAGCCAATAGATACAAATTACAATTCTGTCTAAACATTAGGAATAACTTATTGACTGTAAAAATTGATCAACCGTGGAATGGCCTACTTCAGAGTGTGGTAGTCTCACCTTCAAAATACTTTAAACAGACATTGGATTGTTGAACAAGATAGTCCTTATGGACCCTCCCAACTCTATGATTCTCTGATTCTACATCATTAGTTGGGTGTTGTGGGCATTTATTACTGACACAGTAAATATTGCTCAAATGTACATTCCAAGGTGATGAATTCATGACAGATTCATGAGACCCTTTTAAAATACTTCCCATTACTATCAAGTTATCCGGAAAGTTATCTTGAAAAACCAGATTATTTTTGTGCAACAATCAGGGCTAGTCCAAGATATGTTGCTATCTTGACAGAGAAGATGAGGACACCTCCTAATTATTCTATGAGGAAAAGCTAACTGGTTTGGTAATGCTGTCATGTCTTGAACTGCATCTTAGGCAGAACCAAGCACGGGACCCAGGACAGGCGGTGTAGCTTACACAGCTTGTTTCTCCAGTTAAGTGAAACCATCAAGGAATCATGGAGGAACAGATGGGAGGCTGTGCCAGTACTGTAGACCTTAGAAAGTTGCTTTTAGGAAAAATGAATATGACAACAAGCTCAATCTATCACCAGCTGAACTGTGGTACAATGCAGGAGTGGCTAGAAGCTTCAATGCTAGTGAGGCACAAGATCTACTCTGAGCTTCCTAAGATGTCAAATTTGTTTTGAGATAGCATTGGCACAATGGAAAACTTTAAAATTCAGACTAAAACCCAGAGCAAGTTAATTTCCCTCCTGATATTAAAAGCAGTAGCTTACAGGGATGAGATGGTACTTGGGAATGCTTTGTAGATTCTTCTGCCACCTGAGGCACTTGCTATATAAATATGTCTCGAAACCCACATACACTACTGCTTTTATCTCTCACTAGTTGCCTGGCTATCACACTAGGCAGGTCACTGCTTTCACCTCAAATAATCCTTGCAATTCAGTTCGTTGGGTATAAATGTTGGGAAGAAAAATAAATTAATATATATGCCCTTTGCTTTTAGGTTCAATGTTAATGCCTTATAAAGGACTGTGAGAAGTTGGTCCCTGGCAAATGCCAACACAATACGTTTAGAGCATATGGCACATTTGTGTTTCAATTTTAAAATGTACATCGTGGAGTTTCAGTGTCACTTGGTATTCTGACTACAGTTGTCCATCTAAGTCATCAGCGTGTTCATAGACTGAAGTTAATCTCTACAAGAAAACTCAAACAGTAAGGCCTATAAGCTGAGCGGCAGCAAGGAGAATTGACATGCAGCATAGTGACTCTGATGGGCAGTGGGGGGAAACCATAGCCCCATGCCCTGCGTTGCCTGCTGTACCATTTTCCACATCACATGGGGGAAAGCATTGCCACAATGCTTCCCCCTGTTCTTTTGAATGAGAACACGGGAAGCCTGCATGATAAAGTGATATGACACAAGTTTTTCTTGACCATTCTTCCTGTAATTGATATTACCCAAACCAGATGGTGGAAGCTCTGGAAGTTGTGTTGATTTCTTGTTTGATTGATGTGACTGAAGATCACATTTCATTTGAAGATTTTGATTCTTCAAGTACTCCCCCCTCCATAAACCCTAGAGCATATAGTGAGCTCATGTTGCTCTGCACCTGCTCCTTTTGCTT